TCTGGAACCAATCTCAGCTTGAGATAACTTATGTTATCTAGGGATAAAAGACCTCAAAGAGTCCGAGAATGTTGTGGAAGTAAGAGTTTAGGGGGCACAACCCTTTATTCCATGAATGCTTCTAGACACTCTTCAGACTGCACCCTGCCTTGTCCCTCACTACCACCAGGAATCCCACCGCTTCAAAGTGACCCTGATTCTATCCTCAACACAGCAGGGACTTGATCTGTGATGTTTATCACATGTGAGGTTCTGGAAAAACATGTGACCCCACACAACAAAGAACAACTTCTTACCTAGTGTGGTTTTTGTTCTGGGCTTCTTTTTCTTTGGACGACTAAGGGGAATATCATCTACAAAACAGAAAGAACAACAACAGAAAAGGCTGTCTAAAATTCAATGCAGGGAACAGTCAAAAGTGAACTTTAAGTAGGGAAGAACTTTCCCTCTCTTCCCTGGGTCCAGCCAACTTCTACATATTAGGAGAAGAAGGCAAGAAATTGACAAAGTCAAAGAGAGCCCACAGCGTGGCACCAATAGCTCATTGCTGGTAGTAATGTTAGAAACTGTGACACAGAAAGTGGGCTCACCAAATATTCTCGTCACCCCTCCCCACCCCCGCCCTGCACTTAGGTGTGGCCTATGACTGGTTCTGGCCAATAGGTTTCGAGCAAAAGTGATCTGTGTCATTTTGGGGCCAAAATATTGAAAGAGCCAGTGAGTAACCCTCCAGCTTTCTCTTCCCTTGCTGTGGCAACTGAGGAGGCCTCATGTTAAGATGGCAGAACCACAGGATGGAAGTAGGCTGAATCACCGCATCATCAGTGAAGGGGTAGTGAAAGGCATCTGTCCTGGATTGTTGCTTCAATGGACTCCATATTACCCAGAAATAACCTTGTATGATACTAAGTCCCTGAGACTTGGCAGTTAGTGTAACATAACCCAGTCTCTCCTGGCTCAGTGAGACAAAGGAAGATGCAGTCCCTATTACAGAACTATAAATGGCCAGCAGTTAGATTCCGGGTGACTCCATTAAGGGATGAGTGCTTTTATTTTTGCAAGGTCAAATATCAACCACATAACTAATATTATACATCAACCATCATTAAAAAATGGCAGTCAGAGGAGATTATTATGATAAAAAGATATTGTAGTATTATAAATTATACCATTCAGATTCAAATTTAAGAGAAACATTAAGGAATCAAACTAACTTTTGAACACCAAATACTACATTTAGAAAGTTTTACAGTAACAGTGAACTAACTCACCTTGAATAGCACTTTACATGACACCGACCAAATTTAATCAGGACAAAGACAAAAAAAGAAACTATTAATTAGAAATATATTATATTGTCAGACTGAAATTTGACTTAAATCATTACAAATTAAAAATAAAATTAGCTTTCACACAGTCAGTTAGTTTACAAACTAGCTTATTATTTATAAGTAATAACCTCTTTAATAAGACTGCCAATAAAATAACCCTAATATTTTCTGAACCAACATATACATATTCCCCACTGTCTATTAATAAAGTGGATTAAACAGATTAAGATCTCTTATTTTGTCACTGATTAAAATCAGCTTAAACTCTGGGGAAACTATTCTAGCAAACACAAGAGGATCAGAATTCTGATAAACAAGAGACCTAAACACTCAGAACGGACCCATCATCCTACCACGCTAACAGTCAGGCTCTGAACCAGAACATTAACTATAACTGTTACTTACACTAATGACTCAAGGATTTTTCACCTTTAAACTTTTAGGAAGCCATTCCTAAAATTTTCAAGAAGTCTTTTCTGAATTATTATCATTTTGTAATGGTATAATTTTTTCACTTTATTCATTTTACATTTTTAAAACGCAGTAATAAAATTAAATTATTTTTACCTTGGCACAGGTGGAAGGGCTCGTGGAGGACGCTTTGGGGGAAAAGAAGAAGAAAACTGCTTGTAAGAAAAGCTTTAGAGCATCTCTACTCCATGTATTTCAAATCTTTTGATAACCCTGTTCATCAAGTGAAACCCAGGAGATACTGATGAGAATCAGATGGACAATTTTAAATTTGTTTCACCATTTCTAAATGTCATATAAAATTCCTTCCTTCCTACCTTCCTTTCTATCTAAAGGGCAGGCCCTGTTCTAAGCATTAGGGATACACTAATGAACAAAACAGAGAGATCCCTGCTTTTATGGAATTTACATTCTAGTGGTTAAGTATTAGAAGATAACATTAATATATATTACTATAGTAACATATATGTATTACTATGTATATTACTATAGTAATATATACGTGTGTGTGTATATATAGTAATAAATGAGGGAGGCTGAGGAGTGCCACTTTAGTTAGGAAAAGTCTCTGAGATATTTGAGCTGAGACCTGAATAAGAAAGGAGCCAAAGGGGAGCAAATACAAAGGCGTTTAGGGAAGATTGGGCTTGGAGTATTCCAGATAAAAGAAGGCCAGTAAGGCTGCCAGACAGTTACCAAGGCAGGGACCAGATTAAAATCAGGGTCTTGAAGACCAAGAGAAGGAGTCTAGATTTTCTTTTAATTCAACGGGAAACCACGGAGGTTTTAAGCATTTTATACAGCGTGAAGAATGCATTTTAGGGCAGAAAGAATTTTTTAAAAAATCTTATAAATGCTACTTTACATGAATAGGAAAAGTTGTGTTTGCAGTTCAGAGAAATTACAGTTAAGAAGCATTCTGAAATCTTTCAAAATAAAACACAAACAGAAATGCCTAGAAATCAGTATCTCACTCGGCTTGCAAAAGACACCGATTCAAAAGGGTTAAATTTTAGACACTCTTGTATTCTACAACTGTCCCATTTAGCGATCCATCATTCAAACAGTGTAGCAACACAAATGCTACAAGAGTAGGACACGGCAGGCTGTCTTAATACCGTCCAGTAGTCACAATTCGACTGGAAAGAACGACAGTTCCACGAAAGCGCTATTGTCCCGAAGATGCTAAGGCCGGCGTTCTACCCAGGCGCTCAGTTCACGCCGTTAACTCCACGTTTCAAAAGTCCCGCAAAAATGACGTGTCACCCATCCAGACGCCCAGCCTCTACGCCCCTCAAAAGTAGGACGGCCCAAGCGAACACAAAATCTTCCTAACTCAAAAGTAACTAAGGCTCGCTTACCACCTGCTTCCTCCCCATTCCGTCTCCGGCCGGCTCCCAGGCCGCCGCCCGCTC